TATCTAAAATCTTATAAATACTTTATAAATACTTTATAAATGCATTTTAAATACTTTTAAAAACCTTTAAAATATCTTGTAAAGCCTTTAAAAAACCTTAAAAATCTTTTAAAATAACTTGTAAAACCTTTAAAAACACCTTATAAAACTTTATAAATACTTGGATCGAGTCTTCAAGTAGTAGTTACAATCCATAAGTACCTTATAAACCTAATAAAACTTTATAAAAATTTCAGATTTAAAAGAGGCATTTTTAAAAATAGACATCTAAATGGGGCATTTTGAAAATGGACACACTAAGAGAAATATTTTTAACAATTTCCCTTTTTATTGTTTGTCTAGTTCCATAAGCGCAAAACGTGACGAGAAACCGACAAAACGAGACACCTACATAACCACTCGGAATTATATAATGTAAAGGTCGAAATGGAGAACATTAAAAGAGTTTGACCAAAAGAAAAAAAAGATTAGCTATAACCTCTAATTAGGTATAAGTGAACACAATGCAACAACGTGTACATCCATATATTTTTTTCAAAAAAATAAAGAAAGCAACGTGAACATTTGACCCCTCGACATATTATGCTCTAAATTTACTAATGAGTGAATTACTCGATAACTATACTTATTATGAGAAATGATTAGTTAGTTGGTAAAAATTAATATGAACATTTGCATTATCCATTTTTTTTTAGATTGAGTGGTTTTTAATCATTTTATATTATTATTTTTATGTGAACATTTCATTTATTAAATAATTTTTTTACAAAACTAAACAAACAATCGGATGTTCTAAAATAAAAATTTTATTTAGTAAATTAGATATTAACATTAAAAAATAACATGTTATAGAAAAATTTAAATCGTTACATAATTAATCTCTACAATAATTATTTGAGAAGTAGAAACGCACCATATTGAAAGTTAGGGTATTGGAGGCCTGTGGTTAAAAGTTGGAATGATTTGTCCTAAACACCCTTAATAAATTGTTCTTCTCGAAATTTCTTCTTCTTCGTAATTAGGGGTATATAAGTCTAATCGTGTGTTGATCTCTATACTAATGTCCTAAACACCCTCGATTTCGAAATTTTTTGTTCTTAATTGTTAGGGGTGTATAAGTCTAATCGTGTTTTGAGATGATTAGTCTTAATTACCCTTAATTTTTTTTTTAATATAGTGTAATCGTTGGGGATACGAATGTCATAATGTCTCGACTTTAAGGATTATGGATCTTAGCTTAAATTTATTTGTTAATTTTTTGGATAATTCTATATCACTAGTAGTGATATTCGTTTTGTAG